TTTTTTTTTAACCCCCCCCCCCCCCAGATTAAAAAAATTGAGAAAAAACAAGAGCAAGAGCTTTTTTTATTATTTTTTTTGCATTGACTCATAGGGTGACAAACATTAACATCAATAAACATTAATTGCATAATATAAATTGAGATTCTCTAATCTGAATCAGTACTGGAACCCTGAGTAGACGCCGCTGAGACCCATTCATATAATAGATTTAGATCTTCCTCAATTTTCCATAAAGCTTCTTCTTCATTTTGATTCGCGCCTGGACCTTAAAAAACCAGATAAATACATGTGTGTAATCAAAATTGTAAAATATACAAATCTCGTTCTCGCGACCGCTTGTACTCGTTGAGTACATTTTGAACATTTTCGTGTATTCATTCGAAATTATTTTTTCAGTATTTTATCCAACTTTTTGTATTTTTGATGGTTTATTAGAATAATTTTTTATAAGTATGAATGCAAATATCATAGGTAACAACGAAAGAGATTCAATTTTAAAAATTAAATTTCAAAAAAGAAACGTTTGCTCGTGCGGTGCAATTTACATCAAGTTTCCCGGTCGCGAGTGTGTTAAAAATGATTGTTGAATAATATTGGAAATACCTATGGAAACAACGTCGGCTAGAACGGCGGACGCCTTTACTTGTTTTTGGAGTCTTAGAAGAAGGTGTGTTATAGAAGATTGCTAAATACATTGAATTTATTTTTAACGGGATAACAAAAAAACAAACATACTTCGCTAACAACTGGAGAATTCAGAGATGGATCCAAGTGTCCCCGCACTAAACATGAAACTTCTTTAATAACTCAAGGAAAACTTTAAAATTTTAACATAGCAACATTGTCGTTACATTTGTTGTAAATGAAGGCAAAAGGTTGAAATAGAGGTTTGTTATACCAGCTTCATGACGAAGAAGAATATTGATGACTTGTATCTTCTCCAATAAAGATTCGACTAAAACGTCTCTCGTATTGCGATCCATCGTAAGCCACCTATATAAGACAAAAATTAAATTATTAATCATAGAAAATAAAAAAATAAATAGAATTTTTATTCTCACTTCTTTCTAATATAAAGAAAAACAGAGCGAAAGTTTCTGTGAATTGCACGTGCACGATCCTAAAACAAAGTGCTCATGAAATACATATGTATATACAAGAATTGAAAACTTCAAGTTTAACTCACCGACACATAACGATGTCCCATTATATTAGTATATAAACGATACGATGCCTATAAATCTATTTAATCAGTTCGAGAAGTTAAGAAAAATTGTTGAAACAAAAGAAAAAACCCAAAGCTAAGGATATCACAACAATAACAATAACGACCATGGATGGAAATCAGACGCTAAGTGAACTACAGAACCCAGCGTGTTCGCTTGTTGCGTTGCGTGCGTGCGTGTGAATATTCCGGTCAATGCGAAAATATGAGACAGTTCGATCTAACGAGCGCTTTATTAAATGAAATTGATGAATAATAGTGTATTTGAAAAAACTATGGAGAATGTCAGAGAGTCTAGTTGGTGAAGATAAAATAGCAAAGTTGGCTTCTAAACCCAACTGTAAAAGAACTATTCAGTATAACCAAGAGTTAGTAGACGTTGAAATGGAGAAAAATAATATTGTTCTTTATCAACCAATCTATACGTTTATTACCTGAAAAATGTTCGAAATGACCAAAAAAAATCATTTTTCAGAAATGACATGTTTTCGATAAGTTAAGACAGATTTTTGATGATTTTGTTCATTAAAATAGCTAAAAATTGCAAAAAGTGGAGAATGGGCAAAATTACCGACCCGCGTGAACCTTTTATAGACTACTTATATTGGGTGTACATGCGAGAGCAGACTGTAGGTGTGAATATTGTCGGAGGGAGAGTAAGAAGATGCAGATCATTTAAAATTTAAGTCAAATATGCATTTAAAATAAGTATTGGTCATTCAGCATTTTCGATACAGATCTTCTTCTATTCTATCTCTTCCACCCACTATTATCAGTTTCTGTTTTCTCCGTTATTGTTAGATATAAGAAGAATACTAGTCATTGTGCAGATCGACGAGAAAAAAAAGTCTTCAGAAGCATGACGACGTTGGTGTTCGAAGTGAGTCAAGTTTCCACGAATGTATGGTCCATAACAGAGAATGATGTCCGTAACTGCCGTCCTCTGTCATACTTGATAGTCGGCGAAGAGAAAGGTTTTCTTTATCATTTAATCTCTTTTTTTTTTATTTCACTTTCTTCTTTATAGCACTACTTATTGACACCGGCTGCGGATATGGCAACATGTATTTGTACGTTCGTAAGCTTCCACAAATTGCTTCAAAGAAGATTATTGTCGTTAATACCCATAATCATCCGGAGCAAGTTTGTTATTAATTTATTTCACTTAAATGAACATTCGCGAGAAAACTTTATTATCTTTGAAATTGAAAAATGTTTGGAGAAGAAAAGAAAATGAATGAAAAGCTTTTTTTGTTCATTTAGCCAACCGCTCAGTACGTCTGCAATTGAATTGAATGAAAGAATGTTATTTAGACATTCACGTGACGTTTACGTGAAAGTTGCGTCTTCATGAATATGCAAATCAAAAAAGTATTGATAGCTGCTGTATGAAATGAAATGAATAACAAAGCTTCCTTATACACATTTAATTACAATTTATAATATTTTATTCCATTTTAGACGGGTGGGAACCAAAATTTTTCAACAACCGGAAAATGGGGATTATCTCTGCAAGTGGAAGACTTGTGTGCTTCAAAGAAGAATAAGTACTACACACGATTATTGGAAAGCAATTGGCATTGGGAAGTAAAGATGTTTTGTCTCTATTTTTCCATGAAAACCTTTTTTTTCGTTGAAGGTTGGAACATACAAAGTCACGAGATGGTTGAATGATGGAGACGAGATCCATTTAGGCCCGAAAGAAAATCCAATAAATAATTTGAAGGTTTCTAACAAATAAACAAATCCCCCACTACCCCACTCTTTTCCACTCCTCTTCATTCCTCCTTTATGCCCTCCTGTTCACATCTTTGATCATCTAGAGGAGATAGAAAGCCATACGCGAACAATGGAATTGACAGTCATTATATGCATATATATATCGTTTCTTTTCAGATCTTCTGGACACCTGGACATACCCCAGATAGTTTGGTTGTTTGGTATGGGCATGATGCTCGTCTGTTTCTCGGAGATTTATTCTATCGATTTTCAGACATTTATTTCAAGTAAAAAATTAATTAAAAGAAAGATTGAAGTGAAAGAGAGACAGACAGTGAAAGAGAGAGAGAGAGGTAGAGAGAAAGAGAAAGAGTGAAAGAAAGAAAACTCAGATAATAGCTAATCCTTACCAATTTCAGCTATAAATACACGGATATCCGAGAATATGAATCATCTGTTCGACGTATATTATTATTTATAAATAGTCAACCTAATTATAGAGATGTTATTATACATTTGAAAGCTAATATATATTCTTTTTTCCTTTTAAGATTAGATATTCGTCTGCCAAAAATGATGTTAATAACTTCTGTTTACCACAGCTTAAGCATTATCATCGATTCTTGTTGGCAATATTTGCTGGAACGCACACAGGACTGCCATTACGGTTTGTTGAATTCGCTTTCTTCTTTTAGTCTATTTTTTTCCATCTTTCTATTCAACAAATTTGTTTTGTTAGCTCTTTCTCTCTCTATATATAAATATATATCTATCTATGACTCCCTCACTCTGTAACTTACTCTTTCTAGCTCTCTAACCCTCCCTCTCTCTCTCTCTCTCTCTCTCTCTCTCTCTCTCTCTCTCTCTCTCTCTCTCTCTTTTTTTTTTTTTCTCTCT